TCAGAGTCAGCTCTGTTTATATTCAACATTCTTCCCAGAAACAAGCACCAAAAATGGCCCCACAGGCACAATGGCGTCATCTCCCATCCCCAAGCTAAGGCTGTGGATATCTAACATTAGCTGTATGGGTCATACCAGGTGACATGCAGAGAGGAGAGAATTCAGAGAAATTCAGCAAGATCTAGAGCTAAACGGGGAAGAACAGGGTGACCTATTCATGGATTTGTCTTATGTCTTTTTAATTATTTTTCCTTATTCTCAGAGATATCTTCATTATTAGGGAAAACCCTTTTAACTTGGCCTTTCCAAGAGCCTGTAGTGGTCCTCAGGTGTAAGCAGAGAGAAAATCTGAGTTCTTGTAGCTCATTTAGACCTGGGTCCCATTCACTCTGTTGTCTCTCATGTCATACTGGACGGTGCGTTGTGTCTTTGTTCACGTCCTCCGGGGCCTGCAGTTCTTTCTGGGGGCGATGCAGCTTGATGTTGTGAGGCTGTATGGATGTGCTAAGAAATGGGTACACTGGCCCCGGAGCAGAGGAGTCGGCTGGGCATTCTCGTGTGGGGCGCTTACTGTGTGTTAGGTGGCACGGTTCGGGATCTCTCGGTTATTGGTGATTAGTAATGAGCTGTCGGGTGTATCCCAGTTGATGAGTGGAGGGAGGTCTTTTATTAAAAGCTTATATGCACACATTGCCTCAAAGGCCTATTTAAGGATTTCTGCCACTTTTGGCTTTACTTTGCAATGTAAAAAATAGTTTCATCTTCCAATCCTGTCATCTGATGCCTGTGATTGTAATGTTGTACTTCATGTTATTCATAATGGTAGAAAGTGACATTTCTGGAAAAATAAATGTGTCACTAGGAGGTGTGCTTTCTGTCTGTCTTCCCAGCAAGCTTGTACCCTCCATGTGGCAGGGGCTGTGTCTTTATCTCCATCCTTGAGCATGGGTACCTGGCGTGTGGGTTCCTGGTATGTTGAGATGCTTGGTAAATGAACTTTTTTCCTAAAGAGAGAATACCTTTTCTTGACTGTTGTCAGGAACTTCCTGGAGATTTGAGGTCACTTTCAGCCTGAGAGGTCACTTTCAGGTGTCTGGCTGCAGTGCTGTCCTGTAGGCTGAGGCAGAGAGGGAGAGCCGTGTCTCAAAAAGAAAACCTTTCCTTGACAGCTTCTGCAGAGTGCTGTATAATCAGGTTCAGTCCCGGTGGCTTGGGCCTCGGGTTGCTGGCGGCTGACTTAAGGTCTGCTTCTTCATGGGCCACTTGGGCTTTTTTCTTCCACGCTATTTCATGAGCTGCACAGCATTTACCGGGAAGGTGTGGACCAGATGGAAGATTTGATGTGGTCATTCGTATGGGGATCATGTAGCAGTCTGGTTTGTCTAATCAACCCCGGCTATAGTGTCTTCTCTTCTCTTGCAGCACTTGTCCCTGAAAGCCAAAAGGGCCAAGGTCCAGGACCAGTGAGAGGATCCCAGAGCTGCGGCTGGAGGGACTGCTGGTGTCCTCTCCCCCATGCTGCTGCCCCTGGCCCCAGGCGGGGTGAGCTGGCACCAACTCCTGTGGAATGTTCGACTGCTCTGAAGGGGCTGTGGCCTGTTCATTAGCCTTTCCTGCTACCCACAGCATTTGCATCCTTGCTGGGATCCCGGAGGACTCTGTGCATGGGCAGGCATCCTTCTGTGCTGCAGCGGGCAGAGTGGGAGTAGGCTCACCCAGCACTCTCACTAACCCAGCATGCCACTTCCAACAGGCACGCAGTCCTGGCCAACTCTGTGGGGAACAAGGAGGAAAGATAGCCACTGAAGGCCGAAGCACCATGTAGGGTAGACAGAGGGTTTGCTGGGCTGCTTTGCTTTCCCTGCTAGGGCCATGGCTCTGGTAACCAATGAGGTATGTTGCCAGGTGTGAACAAGCATGTATCTACGAAAGAACAAAACACTGGCGATCTCTGCCGAAACCACCAAGGGGCATGTCTGACGGGCACAGGGGCTCCCAAACCCAGTGGCTTCTGTCTGTCCTCAGCCCTTGCCCCTGTTTATCTGCAGCCAGGAGCCTTGCAAGGGATTGGTGATTGACAAAGAGGACCCGTGTGCTGTTTTGTTTGGCTGAGGATTACAAGTGGGCTTAGCGTCCTCTCAGAGTGCAGTGCCAGGTTCCGGTGCCACACTAGCTGAGCGCTCAGGAAAGTTCATCAGCTCAGATCCCACAGGGCCTCCTCTTTAGCAGGAATTCACAACAGTTTAGATGCTCTAAACTTCGTAGCTCAGGAACATAACTGGTATATTGGTTTCTTTGTTTGCTTGGTTATTACTGCGACAGCACGCGGGGGCAGTTCTTCCAGCAGGCACTGGTTTTGTTGCCCCAGGCTGCTTTGCTGTGACGATGATTGCATTTCACCAAGGCCAGATGCAGATTTTTTCCCTCTTACTGTTCCAATAACCTTTATTTTAAAAACACATAGCTTGAAAATTTATTTTTGTACTGATATTAATTTGGATGTGCCACTTTTGGCACCAAATGTGTATGTCATTTTTATTTCCATTTTATAAACATGTAAATAATAGTATTAACTTGTTAATAATAGTAAACCTTTATACCTAAAGTAAATGTATTCCCTCCCATACCTGGTTCTCATGGTCTGTATGTTAACATGTTCTAGTGAATTGTTCGGAGTGAGGGCCTGACATTAACTAAGAAGCCGAATGCTGTGGCATACATTTAGGGAAGCCCCTAAAGCAAGATGATGTGACTGAGTGCCCCTAGGACCTGATTAAACTGTAGAGGAAGTCCCAAAGAGGTGCTAATTCTTGCTAGTTTCCAGATGGGATCTTCCTGTAGAGAGGTCAGAAACAGTTTTTCAAGTTTGGCTTTAGGACTGGGGCTGATCCTGATAAGCTTATGTGGTGGTGGAAGGGGGAAAGCTACAGGGTTCACACCCTCAGGTTAGAGACCAGAGTCCACCAGGAGGCCAGACAGTCTGGAGGGAGCACCCAGAGGCAAGTCCGTCTCTGCAGGCTGCCTCTACCCCTGGGCGCCTATCCTGAGCCCATGACTCCCATCTCTCCCTCCACCTCTCAGGGCAGCCCTCCTCAGGGGATGCTTTCCAGTGTTGTGCTCTGTGTTATGTCACAGTCTGTGATGGGTGGGACAGGTCCTTGCTGTCCAAAGCAACTGCAAAATCCTGGGCCAATGGGAAGGTCCCTTTACAGTAGGGGTGGTTAAGGCTGGGACCGTACAACTCAATAGGGAGTGGAGTGCAGCCTGGGTGAGAGAGACGAGAGCTTTTGACTTTGTCTCTTACAGGTCTGTGTCCCTGTTCCCACTGTCAGCCCACAGATGTGACAGCAGGGCCTAGTACTTCACAGACTTTGTCCCCCAGTTGTTCCACAGAATTAGTCCCCTTGGGCTCCACACAGGTCTTCGGATACTGCTAGTGAAATTCCCCACAGCACTGCTGTGTCTTCCTTTTGGGGCAAGTGAGAGGAGAAAGAGAAGTTGGTGAAGCTGGTGCTGGAAAGCATGGACACCATGTGCCCTGTAGGCCCAGAGGTGGGAGCTTTCTGTATTGGTGGCTTGCAGAGACCCTGCCAGTTCTCTGCCACAGCTGGTTTCCCTGGGGGTTGGACATTGTCACAGGGAGCCCCTGGCTCAGCCAATACACCACTCAGTCTGGCCAGCAAATGTTGAGCCCTCAGGCTATGTGCATGGCACAGGGATGTGGTAGAGACACTTAACAACAACCAGATGAGTGGACCAGGATGGGGCTGGGTGTGTGAGAAGGACAGAGTGGCAGGGGATGGCAGAGGTCCAGTAGGGGTTGATAAGGCAAGGGCTGTATCCACAGAGACTTTCCGATGACAAGATGCTTTCCTGGTGAACGTACAGACTACTCTCATGTTCTTCCCTGGCCATCCCCCAATTGCTGCACATTTTACTTGGGCCATGAACTTGGAGAGCTACCCAGCCCCCCAGCTTCATGCTCTCATCTCTGCTGGTTTGTCCTGGTGTCATTGCAGCCTGCTACCAGTGCTACTCCTGCTTCGTGGACCGGGCCCTGCCATTCAGTGCTGGGTTGTCCCCAGCACCCCAGACCTGCTCTCAGCTGTTTTCCAGGGCCGGGCACTGACAGCGTATGGCTGACATCTCCTAGCCTGAGCAAGGACATCTGCTGCTGACCAGACGGAGGGTTGGGTGGCTGAGGGAGGGAGGCTGAGGCCAAGGGGCCTAAAGCTGGATGATAACCATGAGATTTCATCCTGGAGCCATGGGACCTCTGGCAGTGAGGCCTGGGAAGCTGTAAGTTTCAAAAGTCCCATGTCAGGTGGTTCTGATGATGTGGGGCTTGGGAATCCTGGGGACAGGAGTTAGAAGATGTGAAGACATGCAGCCCAAGGGACAGATAGCCCCCAACTGGGAGATCAGAGTGTCAGATCTGAGTGAAAGCTGATATATTTGTTTCTTCACAAGTGTGCTTAGACCCCAGCCCAATCCCTATTATGTATTTTCCCAAAACACAGATGCACAGGGTTGGGATTTGACCCAGGCAGGTTGTGACAGCAGGCATCAATGTCAGCCCACTGTGTATTTTCCTTATTCCTGCAAAAATGAGGAATGTGTAGTAATGAGCATTTTGTAAAGCTTAAGTTTATTCTCTGTAAAATACTTTTTTTTTTGAGACAGAGTCTTGCTCTGTCACCCAGGCTGGAGTACAATAACATGATTTCGGCTCACTGCAACCTCCGCTTTCCAGGTTCAAGCGATTCTCCCACCTCAGCCTCCCAAGTAGCTGGGATTACAAGCACCTACCATCACACCCAGCTAATTTATATATTTATTTATTTATAAATAGAGATGGGGTTTCACCATGTTGGCCAGGCTAGTCTTGAACTCCTCACTTAGGTGATCTGCCCACCTCAGCCTCTTGAAGTTCTGGGGCTGTAGGCGTGAGCCACTGGCCTGGCCTTTTTTTTTTTTTTTTTAATAGAGGTGGGGTTTCGCTGTGTTGGCCAGGCTGGTCTCAAACTCCTGACCTCAAGTGACCCACTAGCCTCCCAAAGTGCTGGGATTACAAGCATGAGCCACCGTGGCCTGTCATCCTTTAGTCTTTTCTTGGTGCCAAGATGCTTTTAGGAAATGATGGTGCCAGTAGATGGCAGTTTTATTTTTTAATGTTTTCTTTGGAAAAATGTCAACAGTTGTTCATCTGCCACCCAATTGAAAACAAATTCAAAATGATGCAACAAAAACTGGTTGATGAAATCCTCAAGTCTGGGAACCACTGGGTTGCACTGAGTGGGCCGGGCAGGGCATCTGGCAGCATCAGCACCCAGATCATCGCTCTGGGAGGTGGATTTGAACTGCCAAGCACCCATCCAGGTTTCAAGTGAACTTTGGCGCTGCTGGGGGACATTACTATCCCCTGGAAGAATTCGAGTTGGGCTTAGGCCCATATCTCTTCTTCACCTCAATGTAAGATTAGATATTTTCTGCTCTCCAATGATTCATCTGGATTTTTTCCTCAGCCTTCTAATTTGTGATGAAACAGTATGATGGAACTCAGGATTTCCTGTCAGTTTAATCTGTTCCCGCCCCCGAGTCATTGGAACTGGAAATAGCCAATCAAATAATTGCAGTAACAGCTGCCTACTGTGGGTGACCAGCTGGAGTTTGCGAGGCAGGCGGTCTGAAGAGGGCTTGTCACTGGGTCCTCACAGTCATTGCTCCCTCCAGCAAGCAAGGATGACACGCTGACGTCTCTGGTGAATCCTGGCGATGTTCCCTTTTGCACTCTTGGGTGGCATTGGACTTGCTGGGACAGGCTGTCTCCTTGCCTGCTTAAGCCCGGCCAAAGGAATTCCCAGTGCAGCGTTCCCCCCAGGCCCTCTGGCACACATGGCCACCACTCCCACTTGTGAGTTCTCCTGAAGGCAGTGAGCAGGCTAGGGAGGCTGGGAGGGGCGGTGCAGGTGCAGGATTTAGTACCCCAGGATCTCTGTAGTCAGGTGAACCTCCAGCACAGGCTACTGCCCATGGCTTCTTGACCATGGCCTCATCAGTGGCTCCAGGTACAAACATCTTAGCCAGGCTCTTTGCCAGCCTCAGCCTGATGGGCAGACCCATATAGAACCCAAAGGTAGCCTGAGATCCTTCCTTCTTCCCCACTGTGGCCATCAGCCTCTGCCTCTGCCCTGCCGGACCCTAAGAGCATGAGCTGGCTAATAAGCCCGTACCAGGTCACCCTCAGACTGTTTATTTTAGCCTTGTTCTCTTGATTGCTTTTCTTTTCCCCGTTTTGGGCTTATTCTGTTTTCAGGTGTGGTCAGGTTTGCTTGGTGTCTGCTGTCACTGTTTTCCCTTTGCTGTTCTTTGGTTTTTGTTTTTCCTCATGGGTATGCCTCACCCCTTTACTCTCCACCTCTCAGACCTCTGCACGATTTTCCTTTTTACTATGAAATTTTAAAAAGAGCTGGCGAAGCACGGTGGCTCACGCCTGTAATCCCAGCACTTTGGGAGGCTGAGGCTGGTGGATCACAAGGTCAGGAGATCAAGACTATCTTGGCCAACATGGTGAAATCTCAACTCTACTAAAAATACAAAAATTAGCCAGATGTGGTGGCGTGCACCTGTAATCCCAGCTACTCAGGAGGCTGAGGCAGGAGAATTGCTTGAACCGGGAGGCAGAGATTGTAGTGAGCCGAGATTGTGCCACTGTGCTCCAGCCTTGAGACAGAGTGAGATTCCTTCCTCCCATCCCCCCAAAAAAATTTTTTTAAAGAACACAGATGTGTCTTTTTATGCTCGTCAAGAATATGTTTTCCTTGACATTTATGTTAACATCTTGGTCTCTTTTATGCTCTGCTTGTTTGTTTAACTTTCATTTTGGACATTTAGGTACAAAAAGTCCCATTTAGTTTTGTTGTTGTGGTTCTATAAGTATTCTCTTCCGTGATTTCTGTTTTTTTTTTGTTTGTTTGTTTTGATACAGAGTCCTGCTCTGTCACCCAGGCTGGAGTGCAGTGGTGCAGTCTGGGCTCACTGCCGCCTCGGCCTCCTGGGCTCAAGTGATCCTCCCACCTCAGCCTGCCTGGGAGCTGGGACCACAGGCATGCGCCACCACACCCAGCTAATTTTTGTATTTTGTGAAGACGGAGTTTCTTGATGTTGCACAGGCTGGTCTCAAACTCCTGAGCTCTAGTGGTCTACCCACTGTGGCTTCCCAAAGTGCTGAGATTACAGGTGTGAGCCACCATGCCTGGCCTTTTCTGTGATTTTCATCTTCCACTGGAATATATTAGTTTTAAGCTCAACAGTTGACCTCTCATTTTATTGTATTTCTCTTGCCCCCCTTCTCTTCATTTCTTACCATGCTTAATTTGCTTTAGTGGTTGGCAAAAGGCGGACCTGTAGGTATGGGAGCTGGGGGAAAGTATGGCAAACAAAGGAGCTCCTATAAATCACCAGTGAAAAGACAACCCCAGCAGAAAACAGTGGGCAAAGGGAACGGAAGGCAATGTCTAGAGGCAGACCCAAAGCTCCACTAAGCTGCCGAAGAGATACTCAAAGTCAATCATCAGAGAAACACAAGAAAGGAACAATTAGACATCAGTCTGCACCCAGGAGATTAGCAACACACTGGACAGGTGGTGGATAGAGGTACAGAGGCCTCTGTGCACAGCTGGCGCAGAAGTCCTGGAGTGCCACCTGGGAGCATTCATCCAATGAAGTGTGTTCAAGCCCCACAGCCAAGAAACTCTGCTTCCGGGGGTGTGTACCCAACAAAAGTTCTTAGGAAACACATGTAAGGATGCTTACCTGGTGTGACAGGTGGCCAATGTCCATCCCTGGGAGGGGTGCAGGGACAACGTATTGGATGATACTGTGGATCAGTACAGAGGGGGTTCATCGAACACAGATCTGAGAAATAGCTGAGTGGAAGAATTAAACTGATGTGGCCGGGTGTGGTGGCTCACACCTGTAATCCTAGCACTCTGGGAGGCAGAGGTGAGGTCAAGAGATCGAGACCATCCTGGCCAACATGGTGAAACCCCGTCTCTACTAAAAATACAAAAATTGGCTGGCCATGGTGGCATGCGCCTGTAGTCCCAGCTACTTGGGAGGCTGAGGCAGGAGAATCGCTTGAACCCAGGAGGAGGAGGTTGCAGTGAGCCGAGGTCATGCCACTGTACTCCAGTGTGGACATAGAGCAAGACTCTCTCTCAAAAAAAGAAAGAAACTGATGTGATAGTGCTGTTCACGGACACTAGAACTACGTGCACACAAAAACAATGCAATTGCAAAAACATATGAATAAGAAGTGCACTGAAAGTGTTGCCTATGGGGGTGGGGGTAGGACACAAGGATTGGCACTAAAGTAAAATTTTAAATGACATAAAACCAGATGGGGAGAAGAAGCCTCAAGTGTTCATCTGGAGAGACGTGGATTTTAGGACACATATCCCTTCTTGTCTAAGGTTTTAGACCTGCTCACCCGTGGCCTCGGAGGCAGGAGGTTGTGGCGTTGGCTTCCAGAGCCTGCCTCCCACCTCCAAGCTCATATCCTGGCAGGAACCACTTCTACCCTGGATGGAATGAGTCGGCCAACAACATGAGACATCTTGATGCTTTCCTTACCTCTCGCAGCGCATTTTGACTCAGACATAGAATCTCCTTGGGACAACTTTTTAACTCATGTTTATTCTACATGCCCTATGGTACAGTTAATTTTCACTGGCAATCTGAAAGCAACAGTGCAGAGCTTGTCCGATCACCAAGGAATAAAGGTATGCCTCCTTGTGGCCCCTTTCAGTAGAGGCGAAGGAACTCACTGGAAAAGCCCTCCCCAGTTTATGATTAAATAGGCTGCGGGAATGGATGGTAGCTCATGGGATTTATCTGGGCAGAATGCCTTCACACTTGCAAAGCAAGAACCAGAAGCACAGACAGCATCATTTTAAGTCCTTCCTGCTGATCAGTATCCTTAGGATGGAAGTTATGCTCTCAACGTATAGGGTCTCTTGTTCCCTCCAATTTCGGCTCTTGGCACTGTGCTTCTGAGCCTTTGGCCTTCAGGAGGTGAAAGAGAACTGGGTGTACCAAGGTTTTAAAGACCCTTTGATGAGCTTTTGCCATCCGAGGAGCATGTCGACTTCAGTTGTGTTTGCTACACCCAGATGTGGCTCCTTTCTCTCCTGGGCTTGCTCATCATTTAGAACCAGTTTACTTAGCACTAGTGTCTGGTTTTCCAAAGAGTACCTGGTAGGAGGCAGCATGCAAACCGGAAGAGGCCACCAGGGAGTTTGTTCAACGTACGTCCTACTCCAGGCTTCCCATTGCTTGGAGAATGGTGTTCTAAATTACCCTGGGTCTTCCCAACTTCAGTTGCAGACTCAGAAGGAGGGTAGATTCTGGGACGGTTTTCTGTCCCAGTGGTGATGTGGTCATGGGAACTGAGCTTCTAGGAAGACAGGGTAGATTTCCTGTCCCCAGATTAATAAGCCAAGGTCACCCCTCCTGAACTTGACAATGCCTGGCCCTGTTCTGAGTGGGTGTAGGTGGAGTTAATTTTTTTTTCCTTTTTTCAGAGATGAGATCTCACTGTGTTACCCAGACTGGTCTCGAACTCCTGGACTCAAGTGATCTTCCCGCCTCAGCCTCCCAAAGTGCTGGGATTACAGGCAGGAGAGCTAAATTTTTACTGGGATTTTTGCCAGTTGATTAGTCTGCTGGCCCAACCAGAATTAGGATTAAAAGGCTTTGTATCCCCACAGCCTCTTTTGATTGACCTCTTTGTTTGTGCCCAGATGAAATCCTGACATGCTTTGGGTATGCGGATAACCCTTGCAGGCCACAGGACCCAGATGAGTGACAGCACAACTTGGCATCACCTAAGTAGGGGGGACACGAACATTGAGCTCCAACCCAGATTAAAAAACAATGACTACCTTTAATGAGGTCTGATTTACATATGATAAATGCACTCATTTAATCGGATAGTCAATATGTGTTGACAAATCAATATCCCACAGTGACCACCAAAACCAAGTATAGAACATTTTTATCCAAAAAGTTTTCTCATGATCCTTTGTAGTCAGGGACTACCCCGGCTCTGCCCCTGGCCCCAGGCCTCACTATTCTGCTTTCTGTCACTATGGTTTAATTTTGTCTTTTCTAGAATTTAATACAAATGGAATCATTCAGGATATATGCTTTTGAGTCTGGAGAAGACCCAGTGTAAGTCTGACACCCACAATTAGATAACTTTGTGACCCTTGGCAAGACACAGTTCTGTCTTCAACTGTTTCCTTACTAGTGCAATGGGGTAATAATAACTTACAGCCAGCAAGCCTTCCTTCCTGCCCCCTCCCTCCCTCCCTCCCTCCCTTCATGTGCGCAGCTGCTACAGTGAGCTCCACTGTAAAATTCCAGAAAGGAGCTGGGTCAGGGGTTGCTCAGGAAACAGGAGCCTCTGCTCCCTCCACCTCTGACTGTCACAGAAGGCTTCCTGCTACCCTCCTTCCATGCTCATCCCCAGCCTCCCTGGTGCCATAGTCTGCAGGTCCCTGTATCCCTTCAAGGAGGACTCCTTTTATTTAAATAAGGGAGATAGGAAGATACCCCTGGAAAGAACCAGATGTGGTGATGAGGGCCCCCACCCTCATGATGGGCAAAGGCCAGAGGTGACCAGGGCCTGAGCAGCAGGAAGGACCATTTCAGAGGGTGGGGATGCATAGAGGCCTGGAGTGGGGCCTGCCTGGCCCTGGGGCTCGGGACATTGGAGTTTTCAGGGGAAGCAGTGAGTGGAAGGCCTGTGGAGCTGCTGGACACCAGGTGAGTGGTGGCATCAGGACACACACACTGCTCAGAACCACCCAGGAACAACCTGATGGACACCTTTGTGCCCTTTTTTTTTTTTTTTGAGACGGAGTTTTACTCTTGTTACCCAGGCTGGAGTGCAATGGCGTGATCTCTGCTCACCGCAACCTCTGTCTCCTGGGTTCAAGCAATTCTCCTGCCTTAGCCTCCTGAGTAGCTGGGACTACAGGCGTGCGCCACCATGCCCAGCTAATTTTTGTATTTTTTAGTAGAGACGGGGTTTCACCATGTTGACCAGGATGGTCTCGATCTCTTGACCTTGTGATCCACCCATCTCGGCCTCCCAAAGTGCTGGGATTATAGGCGTGAGCCACCGTGCCTAGCCCCTTTGTGCCCTTCACAGCACAACTTGCCAACACTGGACACACCCAGAAGCACTTGCAGATCAGAGATCACTGCACACACAGCATAGTCCCTGCTTTCCTGGATCTCACGTGCTAAAACATGACCACATCCAGGCTACAGCAGCCCGTCCTTAGACAGAGATGCGGAGGGTCCTGAGTCTGGTCGAGTCCTGAGTTCCAGCCTCCAGACTGGTCCTGCCAAGCTGCTCGGCATATGTCGCAGCAGGGCAGCGCTGTGCTGCCCTCTACTGGACACATGGAGGCGGTGCCTCCCCACGCTGTTGTCCACTCCTGGCAATGAATGGGCTCAGGGGAAGTGGACCATGTTTCTGGTCCCTTGCTTCTGACAACCTGGCAGAGCAGATATGGAATGGCGGAGCAGATATATAAGAACTCTTATCCCAGTGCCCTGACCTCCGTATTATTCCCTGTGTGCCCCGCACTCCCCTTCCCTTCCCTATAAGTGCCTGGATTTAAGAAGTGACAATGGAGGCAAAACATGTTGCTTTTTCAGCCATCTCCTGCGGTGTCCCCTTTCCATGGCCTCATCCTCTCATGGCCCCCAGCGGTCACAACTGGTCTCTCTTGGCCATCTTTCATCCAGTGGGGATGGAGGGACCCGTGCCATTTCTGGAAGGAGCACCTGAGTTTGGAGGTGAAACATAGGTGATACCTTATCCAGGTGACCCCTTCGCCAGGCCACAAAACCATGGTTCATAGATGAGGTCGGGCATTGTGGCTCATGTCTATAATCCCAGCACTTTGGAAGGCTGAAGCCAGAGGATGACTTGAGGCCATCCTAGCGTCTAGTCCCAGCTACGCAGAAGGTTGAGGCAGGGAGGTAACTTGAGCCCAGGAGTTTGAGGCTTCGGTGAGCTGTGATCGGTTGTACCTCTGCATGTCAGCCTGGTCAAGGAGGAATGTTAGGGGTGGGACTGGACTAGAAGAGAGGCTGGGACGTCGAGATGAGGTTGCAGGGACGCTGCGGTGGGAGAAGACGAGCCCCCACCTGTTTGTCCTCGGCAAGGAGTGACTGAGGCTCAAAAAGCCACAACCTTGCCCCAAATTGATGCAGCGGGTGCAGGCAGGGTCCACACCTCGAAGCTTGCTGATATCCTCGGCGGCGGGTCGTCCTGCAGAACCGCGTTCCCTGCGCCCAGCAAGGCCCAACCCCCACCAGGATTCCCAGAACTGGGTGTCCCGCGCGTCCCCAGCAGGCGGAGACGAGACCTCCGTGTCGGCGCTGCACACAGCGGCCAGCAGGGGGCGTTGGAGCCCCGCGTTTGAGCAGCCAGGACGCCCCTGCGCGGTTCTGAGTCCTGCGGGCGCCCATTTCAGGGATGAGGGCCAGAGAGGGGTCAAACCCGTGTCCTGCCCGGCGCGCGTTCACCGCCTGCCCTCCGGGCACGGCCTTAGCAGCTCGGTCCCGGCCTGAGCGCCTCGGAGTGAAAAGAGTCCCCGCACCTCCCGTGACAGTGTCCCCTTCTCTGTCCACGTTGCAAAAAGCTGGACTTTACTCGCCGTGTCTTTAAATCTTGATCACTTCCCCTCGGAAGGCATGAACCTCTCCGTTTTACAGATCCGTTTCATAACAATAAGCAACGACAAAAATAACACCAGCAAACCTTTATGGAGTTCTAATGATTGACTGGACCTGCCAGGGCCCTTCAGAGTGGAGTTGGAGCGGTTGCGGAAGAGGGGTCAAAGGCCAGCCCGAGGAGGGGGCCACCCGTGCAGACCCCTCTCCTCCATCTGAGGGCCTGCGAGGAGGAACAGATGGGCCATGGTAAATCGGAGAGCCATTAGGATGCCCTAACTGTCCCAGGTCACCCCATTTCTGCATTTCTGCTAATTGCAGACATTCTTCCTGCAGGCTTGAGTGACCAGAGTGTGTGGGGAGAGGCCCTGGGAACAGGAGGAGGCCTGGCACCTGCAGAGGAGCATTGCCAGAGGGCAGGGTGCTTGCAGCTACAGCTGATCCCAGAGCTGTGCCCATCTGTGCTAGGACCACTAGTTCTCAAGGCCTGGCCCCATCCTATTCCAGCCGCTGGTGCATCTGGAAGCAGGCCTGGCACAACGCAATGTGGCATGGTGGTGAAGGGCTTGGCCTGGGGAACGCCAGAGCCTGGGTTCAAGTCCTGCTGCCACCACTTACCCACTGTGTGATCTTGGCATGACCCTTAGCCCCTGCCTCAGTTTCCTTATCTGTACAATAAAGATAATAATAGAATACAGCTCTGTGTTAAACATGCTTGTTTTGTGTGTTTTATGATACTTGGACATCTTGGAGCCCAATGAAGCCAGGGAGGAACTGCCCCTAAGGAGGCTTGCTAATTCTTAGAGTGAACAACTTGCTGGCAAGCTTGTCTGCCTGCCTTTCTTTTTCTTTTTCCTCTTTCTTTCTTTCCTTCCTTCTTCCTTCCTTTCTTTCTCCTTCCTTCTTTCTATTCTTTTTTTCTCTCTCCCTCCCTCCCTTCCTTCCTGTCTCTCTCTCTCTCTCTCTTTCTTTCTTTTTTTCGTCTTCTCCCTTCTTTTTCTTTTTTTCCTTTTTGTTTTTTGAGATGAAGTATTGGTCTGTTGCCCAGGCTGGAGTGCAATGGCGCAATCTTGGCTCACCACAACCTCTGCCTCCTGGGTTCAAGCCATTCTCCTGCCTCAGCCTCCTGAGTAGCTGGGATTACAGGCACCAGCCATCATGCCCAGCTAATTTTTATATTTTTAGTGGAGACAAGGTTTCACCCTGCTGGCCAGGCTGGTCTTGAACTCCTGACCTCAGGTGATCCACCTGCCTTGGCCTCCCAAAATGCTGCGATTATAGGCGTGAGCCACCACACCCAGCCTACAAGCTTGCCTTTCATATGCAAACCAACCTGTCCAAAGCCCATACCCTCAAGTGCCTCCTTTATAAAACTCTCAAACACCAGGCCTAATTATCTGGTATGTGGCCCTGGAGTACCCTAAGTCACATAATTAGGAACGATTACTACAGCCTGGACTGTAAACTAGGATGATTAAAACTAGCCAATCTTAAATCTTGAACCTTGCCTCACCTGTTCCTTTCCCATGAAAACCACGATAAAGGCTTTTGTCTGTGCTTTTCCCTTGTTCCTTCTGCCTCCTGACTGATGCTGACACTTCCGCAAGTGGCTCTTCGTGGTGTCGCCTCCTCTTGGGAACTGTGAGTAATACCATCTTCTTTCCAGGCAGTTGTCTCTGTGTCTGTCATCCTCCCATACCTGATTACAACACAACCATTCCGGGTACATTTTAAACAACCATCTAACATTGTTGCAGAGATCAAATCAGGTTGGAGTGCGGTGGCACAATCTCAGCTCACTGCAACCTCTGCTTCCCAGGTTTAAGCAATTCTTCTGCCTCAGCCTCCCAAGTAGCTGAGACTACAGGCATGCACCACCATGCCCGGCTAATTATTGTATCTTTAGTAGAGATGGGGTTTCACCATATTGGCTAGGCTGGTCTTGAACTCCTGACCTTGTGATCCTCCCCCTTTGGCCTCCTAAAATGCTGGGATTACAGGTGTGAGCCACTGTGCCTGGCTAGGACTTAACTTTTCTGAAGTGCTGACAACAATGCCTGACTAAGCCAGGAATAGCTTCTCCTCCTCCAGCCTCTTCCTTCTTTGCACCAGCTGCCTTCCTCTGAGCAATTTTGAGAGAGGTGTATCTCCAGGTGCAGCCAGTCTCAGCTGCCTGGGCCGAGGTCAGCCAGGTGCTCCTTTCCCTGGCCATGGCTTTGAATACTCCAAGCTGACAGTGAGTGACAGGTGAGGGGCTGCTAAGAGCCAGCAGAGGGGCTCTCACTTTTGTGCCATTTGGGTACTGGGACTATGTCCCTAATCAGGGGCAACCTCCCCAAATCTGCAGCCCGAGGCCCGTTCTCCGCTCAACTGAGAAATCACTCTAACCTCCAATGATAGTAACTCCAAATCGTAGCAATAATAACTCACTGAGCGCTCACAGTGAGCCAGGCACAGTGCTAGCATCTTATACCAACAGTTCTCAAACTTTTCAGCTTCAGGAACCCTTGACACTAAAAATGGTCGAGGCTCTCAAAGCTCTTGCTATTATGGGTTATCTCTCTCACTAATGAGGGTCCAAACAGAACTTTTAATAGTATTTCTGTGTAATTTATTTAAAATAGCAATAATAAACACACTACATGTGAGCATAAGTAATATATTCCTCTAAAAAATAACTATATTTCACAACACACAACATTTAAGGAGAGGAAAGTGTGGCATTGTTTTACAGTTTTGCAATCTCTATAATATCAGCCTTAATAGAAGACAGTTAGATCTTTACATCTGCTTCTGCAAGTTTTGAGAAATCACGTCATGTATCCCCTGTAATATTCCACTGAGAGTTTTAAAAAGCTTTCATTGAGAGCAAAAACTCCACAGTCTTAGTATTATAGTCAAGTTTATTCTGACTGTTATGGACCATCTGAAAGGTGGTCCACCCCAGAGGTGCCCACAATGCACTGTAGACACTGCTGCCTTATATATATGATGGGTAGGTTCCAATGTTGCCCCAGTTTTACATATGAGGAAACTGAGAGAAAGTGACTTGTCCAAGGCCATGCAGCTGGTCATCAAAGCCAGCTGGAGAGTCACTGGGAAAAGACCTTGATTTTGGCATCCTGGGCCCCAGCACTGAGCCCTGAGAGAGAGGGTGGAACTGGGCACAGACTACGCTGGAAGGGCAGCTGGGGCCATGAGTAGGGGAGCTGGGTGTGCAGTGAGGGGCGGGGGCGGGAGGGGCCCGGGGGATCCGTTAGTCACCAAGTGGTTCTGGTGACAGGACTGGAGATGGCAGCTGGCGGTGGATGTAGCCTCGGGCTGGAAAATCAATAGGTGATCAGCGGTCCAGGGGCATGCTGTTCATCAGGTACGGCAGAGGGGCAGGGGCAGGGGCGGGGGGGCCGGGAGGAAATATCACTGACCCCCGGCAGGATTGATCAAACAGCCAGACACCCAAGGCCAAACTCACTAATAAAGTGAGACGTTCAGCGCAGCCCGGAGGCTGCTGCTGAAGGTCTTAAAAAAACCGCTTACTGGGGAGTTCTTGATAAACTGTCTTTGTTTCTTGAGGCAAGTGGGAGGGAGGACAGACTGGGGAGGCCTGGCCTGGCTGCCGTTTGGTCTGGGACTCATGGTTTGACACAGGTCTGGACCACAGAACCCTGAGTCTTGTATAGCATGTGTGCCTGCTCTACGGCACATGCTGTCTACCCAGGGCCCGTATGTGTTACACATATGTGCACACTGTATCACCCATATTCAAATGTACCTCTGCATGTCTTTGCATGCCTGTGTACATGCTACAACATACATTTGCTACATTTGCTTATGGCATGTGTGCACACATATGCATGTTCTACAGCATGCATGTGTACAAATGTGCCTTGCATGTGTGCATATGTGTAAATACACATACCCGGCTGCCTTGTGTGCCATGGCACATGCACATATAAGGGGTGAGCTTGGGGATTAAACTCTTTCTTCATTGTTTCACTGATATCACTTTCTCTGCCTGTAGCCCCAAAGGTGCCACATTTGTAATGACAGTCATGATTATTATGAAGTGGGGAGATGGACAGAAAAGTGGGCACTGGAAAATTGTATCTAAAAGGCTAAGCTGTACAACAGGGAGAAACAGGTGTGAACAGGAGGAAGGGGGAGGAAAAGTGAAGGGCTGGCATGTTAAGGGCTAAAGCATTTGGACTGGGAGTTGAGGGAGAAAAAGTGGCAGGATTCAGGGGTGGCTGGGTAGATGCTGGGGGAGAAAATTAAAATATAAATAATATGCAAATAGAATTTTAATTTATTTATTGTTTTTGAGATGGAGTCTCGCTCTGTCCCCTAGGCGAGAGTGCTGTGGTGCGATCTTGGCTCACTGCAACCTCCGCCTCATGGGTTCAAGCAATTCTCTGGTCTCAGCCTCCAGAGTAGCTGGGACTACAGTCTCACGCCACCAAACCCGGCTAGTTTTTGTATACTTTGTTGAGACAGGGTTTTACCATATGGGTCAGGCTGGTCTCAGACTCCTGAACACAGGTGATCTTTGGAAATAGATGCCTGGTGTCGCAAAGAAAAATTAGCACTGAGACAAAGGATCTTTCAGCAATGCAATTTTTACTTCCTGGGTTGCAGGAAGAGTACCCTCGCGAGCTATTGTGCCATGAGAGTACAATGAACAAAGGAAAACAGACAAATTTATCCCTTATGCATTTGGAGTTGTCCTTACTGCTGTGTCTGATTTCCGTTAGCTGGAGCCAGACCTCACAATTCAAACTAAAACCCGATTGGCTAATAACTAACACTTTTCTAAACAGGTAAAAGCAATAGAGAGCTGGGACACACCTGTGAGCACGTCCAGCACAGATACTTGTTTAAAGTACAAGGACATAGAATGTACTATGTGCCTGTAAGCATGTCTAACAGCTACATAGGATAGGGCTTAACAAAGTTATTTGCATACTTATTCTTTAACGAGAAAGGAAACTTTAAAAAGGAACTTTTCTACTTCCCACATCCACCCACCTCGGCCTCCCAAAGTGCGGGGATTACAGGTGTGAGCCACTGCGCCTGGCTGCAAATGGAATTTTAAGAACTGTGCTGGGTAATGACACCCTTTGACATTCTTTCAGGAATCCAGGTAAAGAGCAGAATCACTCCGTCACTTTCTGATGGTTGGACTGTGTTTTGTTAAACGTGCCACCCGATTAGACTGGGCTTGTGCGTACACTGAATTCATTTTGATTTAATAATGACATCACTCACGTTGAGAATTACATTTTATTGGAATGCTTTTGTAGATGAGAGGTTTTTTGTTTTTGTTTTTGTTTTTTTTTGAGAAGGAGTTTCACTCTTGTTACCCAGGCTGGAGTGCAATGGCGCGATCCCGGCTCACCACAACCTCCGCCTCCTGGGTTCAGGCAATTCTCCCGCCTCAGCCTCCTGAGTAGCTGGGATTACAGGCATGTGCCACCATGCCCAGCTAATTTTTTGTATTTTTAGTAGAGACGGGGTTTCACCATGTTGACCAGGATGGTCTCGATCTCTTGACCTCATGATCCACCCGCCTCGGCCTCCCAAAGTGCTGGGATTACAGGCTTGAGCCACCACGCCTGGCCAGATGAGAGGTTTTATTAAGAGCTTTTCCATGTGTCATATACTAACTCTAAGGTACGAGTACCGCTTTTATTTCCATTTTTTGGATGAGTCCATTGGAGCTCAGAGGCTTAATCACTTGCTTAAGTCAGGTGGCTTGCAGGAGGTGGAACTGAGGTTAGAACCCAGCCCTCTGAC